CTAGAGCTCCCCTCTCCTGCCCTCCCCTCCTTTCTCCTTCCCCTTTCACTCCCCTCTCCCAGTCTCTAGCCTCTGTTCTTCTCTCAGTACAGACATCTCACTCCTGAGAATACCCATGAATATCTAGAGGTGAAGTAGTAGGCAGATGACAGTGTCAGGACACACAGCATCTTAGAGTGGTGTGCACACAGGGTCAGAACCTGCTGCTGTCCTTACCTGGGTGTTTCCTGGGCCAGGCACAAGAAATAACATTTTGTAGTTACTCAGTAAATATTTGTTGACCTACTACTAACTGATGGGTAATGTTTGAAATACTTGATCAGAAATCTGATAATCAAGGGAATATGAAATATTGAAACTAAAGTTGACTCATTTAAAATGTACTAGTTACATTATTATACTTCATATTATCTAACACTGCCCTTATAGTTAGCAGTTGGTCATAATGCTTTTGTTTGTAAATAATTTGGCAAAATTTTGGTTTTGTTTGGAAACTTTGCATTGGGCAACAAACAACAGCCATGGCCATCTTTCCTGAACAAACACAAATGTGGCCATGTTTTCCAAAATTGTGGAACAAATTAAGTTCATGAACTGAGGTACCACTGTATTGTGTTATTCGGATCCTTGACATATAGGAATAAATCTGATTAACGGATTATTCTACATATCCCTAGGCAAAAACAACTTTGAAAAATCCATCAATAAAAAGAAGAGTGGATGAAGCATATTGCTTAGCAAAGAAAAGTAAGTTTTATTTTTGAAGAGATTACAGTTAAACTTGGAAACTACCAAGAGAACTCTGGTTACTAAAATATTTAAATGGATTATGACAAAATAATTTTTATACACTGTGTTACTAGGTTTTAAGGAGCATTTTTGTCAAACCATTGTAAGATATGCCAATATTTAGTCTATGCTTTTCATTATAACATTTTTAAATAATAAAATGTTCTGATAAAAGGTTTCAAATATAATAGTTTCTTTAAATGTATCTGTGATCTTTCTAAGTCAGGTTTTTCTTATACCTAAATTTCTTTGCCAGTGGCTGCCACTGTGCTAATGTGTGTTCTTAGGTGATAAGAACAGGGCCCAATTAGAACTGACCTTGAACAAAAAACTTTGATTTAACATCAGGAAGTTGAATGCAATTTTCCAAGAATAGATCCCACCACCCCTGTGTTCATGTTCCTCTGTGATCTGCATGACTTGAGAGGGTTTCTTTTCAAAGCCTGTTATGGTACTTATTTTAAGTGACACCTGTTCTCAATGAGCATTATCCTCTGAACATTTTTTATTTCAAAATAACTGAACTGTGCCTTTCCTGTAGTGTAAGTGATCTGTGGGTTGTTAATCTGGGTTTTCTGATCTGATTTTTTTTAATAGAGAAGTGGTTTTGATTTATTTCTAGCTACAACCCACCATAAATTGCTGGAGAAAGTGAATAATGGGTTACATTAAAGTTTGTGTTTTAGAAAGGATAGTACATTAAAAAAAATAATGGTATACATTTGGGAGTATAGTTAATGATGTCTATTATGAGAGTGTATTTTTAATTCCCTTCGGTTAAATTATTAATAAAAAATATAAATTATATAACTTTGAAGTATTTCAAATGTAAACTGTTCTTATAATTCTCATATTTTAAGAACTTAAATAGAAGCTTATATATAAATCTTACTCATGTGTTTGTGTAAGAGTACCCATTCTTCAGTGTACTACCAAGTTTAATAAACTAGTATTTCTATATTCTTTATATTACAGCTGTCTCAGACTTAGAAGAAAACTCTCTAAATGCATACTACCTGAAATGTCTTGAAAACCTCGTGCAGCTGCTCAACTCTTCCTGAGTACCAGGAGGTGCTCCACCCCAAAGCTGACAGCCACTCAATAGGACTGAACATGAGGCTGCTTTGTGTGGTCACTACCACCTGAAGACCTGTCTGCAGAGTCCTGATCCCCTCTCTTCCCTATAAGAAATAGAACTGGAGACATTGAAAGAAGTAGAATTCGTAACATTTCAACTCTGTCCATTCATCACAGCTCTCTGGAAGTAATAACAGCTGACAGAAAACGGTGGGATAAGACATAGAAAGTTCTGGCAACATAAACATTTTTACCCTTTTCTATGCAATTTGCTTTGTAAAAATTTTATTTAACAATTATTTAATAAAATAAAATTTTTTTTAGAAACTAAAAATTGACTGTTCACTGCTACTTCCAACTTTTACCAGTCATACCAGTATTAATTATGGAATTAAAAGGACAGCTTGTGTTCTGCTTTCTTTGCTTTTTCTTTTTTAAAAGAATTTTGACATGAAATTTAGCTCGTCAATACAAATCTTTATTTTTCAAACTTTTATACTGTCCATAGAGTATATACTAGTGAAGGATGTATGTTTGTAAGTGTATATAATTTCATAGTTTCCTTAGACAATTTTTAGTGATGCTAATTGCCTTCTAAATGATTTATAAATATAGTTCTATTTATAATTTTCATTTTTCAGCATCTGAAATGCTGTGGGATAAAGAAGGAAAAAATACAGTTGTTGTCATGTAGGTCTGCTTTAAACTAACTGAGCCAAAACATCATGAAGAACAAATCTGAAAATATAGGAGCAAGGTCTGTAGAGCACTCCATTACATAATTCTTAACTAATGTGTTTTTGTTTTTTATATGTATTTTTAATAGACACATAATTGCACAAATGTAATATGTCATAATGTAATATTTCTCTTTTTTCCCATTAAGTTTATTGGTACATTTTAGGTATAAAATACAGTTACATTCATCATTGGGATCTTGTACCATTACATGAGTATCT